AAAAAAAAATTCAAATTTTGGATGAATGAGAATGGAAAATATATCCTCATTTTCCTTCCTTTCCTCAGAAATATAAAAGGCAAAAGTTTTTCACGCAGAAGCTGACCAAAAATGCAAACAAATTTCTCCCTTGCACGTAACTTTCTTTCTTACGCAGTTCATTCACCATCCATTAACTGCCAATTTGATAACCATAATAACAGAAAACAGCAATTTTATCTTTCAAGATATATAGTTAGGTGAAATGTAAATGCAAGAGTAAATTGAATATGATCCTATCAAAGACTAGCCAATTAATTATAGATGCATCACAAACATTCCGAAAAAATGCTCAGGCACAGTTCCCAAAGTACCCTCTCTCTCCTACTTTCTAGGTTAGCAGAGCCCACTTCCGGCGTCCTACATGACCGGAATCCATCTTTTCTAACTCCTCTAAAGTGACTTTTCTGACATGTCAACTCCTTTTCCGGTCCCGGCCTAACAGTTCTTGATTAATATGGGGGAAAAGGTTTCATTTAAAGCAGGGATTAAATCTTTTGAACTCACAGATATTAGCCGTGGTCATTACAGGTGGTTCCTTTTTACAGAAAAGAGCGCTCGTTTTGTCAGCAAAATTAAGATCGATGAGGATAATCTACGATGGATATGCGACAATTTAAGACAGGCTTCCAGAGGTTCAGGAGATCTATACAGAAGGTGGGGTCGAAAACAACAGAATTTATTACATAGGGTCTACCAAAATTTCAACATTTATGGGCGTTACATTCGAATCGAGAAATAGGTTGGTGATAGGAAATCAGCAGTTATTATTCCGGAAGCAGAATACAACTTGGGCTGGTGCGATGTTGCTGATAAATCACCAGATTTCTGGGGAACTATAACCCAGACCTTCATAGATTCACTTCACCGGAGAAATCCTTCATCCAAGCTGCAAAATTACAGAAATGGCCGGCAATGGAAGCCCAGATCAATACAGAAGAAGTAAATCTGCAGTACCTCTCTTGCTGCCTAGTGGGTCATTCAACGATTCCTTCTGTCATAACCCATCTACGGAGATACTGCAAAAATGGTTCACCAATAGGTGGCCGGTGACGTCTGGCTTGAGAGTTTCTTCTCTTGCTCATAACCTTTTTCTTTTTGAGCTTCCTTCTTCGAAGGAGGCAGAGAGGGTCAAATTTGGTGAGTGGTTCTGGAATGGCAGACGTCTCTCTTTAGATTGGTGATCGCCGGCTTTGAATCTTAAAATTTCAGAGAAAATATCAGGTCATAGATGGATAAGGGCTTTTGGTATTCCATTGCATGTGTGGTCTGAGAAAACCCTAAGGTTCATAGGAGATGAGTGTGGTGGCTATATAGGTGCCGATGAAGATACGAAGAAAAAAAGTAATCTACTCTGGGCTCGCATATGCATCAAGGATTCAGACTCAGAACCTCCTTGTAAGATCGATTTGGCTATGGGTGATATGAAGTTTGAAATCTCCATTATTTCCGACGGGCACGTTAAGATAGCCGGCGATGGAAAGGACAGAAGGTCTCACTTGAGAGACCAAAGGTCCAAGGAATTATACGCTTGGAAACCCACGCCTGTGGATTTAAATTTTGAATCAAATGCCCAAGCTGGGCCTTCTCTCAAACCGGCCCACTCTAATGACATAAAACAGGTCAGTTTCCCTTTTTTAATGGGCCACCACTACTACTCAAAGGAAAAGAAGGGAAAGAGGCCCAACTCTTTCACTAATAAGAAGAAGCTGATGGCATGGAGAGCAACTGGGCCGGCCCAACCTCAACAGCCCCCAAAAGCCCCAATTATGCCTTCTCAAAAGGACGATTCAAAGCAGCAGTTACGCGTCATAAGGTGCAATTCTGAAGACTCAGAACAAGGTGATGAAGATGCTGATGATCAAGCTGAACCCATGCAATCTCCTTCTCTCACCAAATTTATCTGTTCTTATCCAAATTTCTCCATGGACAGATTTAATGACTCTGAACCCAGGCAATCTCCTCCTCTCACCAAATCTCTCTCTTCTTATCCAAATTTCTCCATGGTCAGATTTAATGACTCTGAGTGTCTTCTCTTTCGGGTAGCGAGCTATTACCCCTGCCATGGTCTGAGGGGAATTCTCAAGGACAACTTTCAATCAACACACCTCAGGTTATTGAGACTTCTCACTGGACCAAGGTAGCTATGACCAAAGCATGTAAGGCTTTCGGAGTCCACTCTACAGGCTTCGAGCACGAAATTTTTGATATGATTATTAGAATGGAGCATAAAAGGCAAGCCCAAAAGCGACTTCAAAGGGTGGAGGAAAATGGGGTGAAGAAATCCAAGAAGAAGGGGGTAAACGAAGCCAAGAAGCTGTTATGCACTGTCACATATGAAAAGGGTGAAGGATCAGTTAGGGGCAGGTATCACAAGGCTTTCTCAGAATGAAAGAAAAACTAATCAGCTGGAACATTTGTGGGCTCAATGATACGAGCAAGAGAAGCACTATGAAGTCTCTAATAAAAAAATGGAAACCAGATTTGTTGTGTCTACAGGAAACAAAAACAGAAAATTGCACTGTAGTTGTAGTTAGAGATCTTTGGGGTTCAAGATGGGTAGGGTGGGCAGAATTGAAGGCTAGTGGCAGAAGTGGAGGAATTATTATTATATGGGACAAAAGGCAATGGTCTTTGCATTGAATCTCAACAAGGGAAATACTCTATTTCTACAATGATGGAGGGGGTACAAGTTGATTTCAGATTCTGTTTTACAGGGGTATATGGCCCTCACTCAAATTGGGAGATGGTAGAATTATGGGAAGAACTAGCAGCAGTTAGAGGATTATGGAATGATAGCTGGGTAATAGGTGGAGATTTTAATGTATGCTGCTTTGAAAATGAAGGACTAAATTGCATCAGGAGATCAAGGGCTATGAAGGTTTTCTCTGATTTCATTCAAGACATGGAGCTGGTGGACCTTCCTTTGCAAGGAGCCTTCTACACTTGGGCTAGGGGAGAAAACTCTTTGCAGGCTTCTAGAATTGATAGGTTCCTAATCTCTTCTGAGTGGAACGACTCATTTGGCTTGGTACATCAGAGAGCTCTTCCCAAAGTAATATCAGATCACAGGCCTTTAGTTCAGGAATGTGGTGATTGGACTGCTGAACCCTCCTACTTCAAGTTTGAAAACATGTGGCTCCAGCATGAAGGGTTTGGCGATTTGATCAAACAATGGTGGCAGGGATATGCGGTGAACAGCTCTCCAGATTTTATTTTATCTCAAAAATTAAAGCTAGTGAAGAAGGATTTAGTTACATGGAACAAGGAAGTATTTGGAAAAGTTAGCACAAGAACTCATAAAGCCCTGGAAGAATTGCTACAAATGGAGCAGGCAACCGAAGGAAGGCTACCAACGCAAGCTGAATCTGCCAACATCTTGCGGTTGAAGATGGAGCTACAACAGTTAGCAAAAGCTGAAGAGATTTCATGGAGACAAAAGTCTAGATGCTTATGGTTGAAGGAGGGAGACAGGAATACCAAATACTTTCAAAAAATGGCCAAAGCTAACAGGAGATACAATTGTATTGACAGGTTGCAAATAGGAGATGATATAATTGAAGACAAGGAACAAATCAAAAGTGGAATTCTGGATTTCTACAAGGAACTTTACTCTTGAGAATGAAAGCTGGAGGCCTAGTGCTACTTTTGAAGGACTGGAAAGATTGACATCTGAACAGAAGGAAACTCTGGAAGTTGCCTTTGAAGAAGAGGAAGTAATAAATGCAATCAATAGCTGTGCACCTGACAAAAGCCCTGGACCTTATGGAATGACTATGGCCTTATATAAAAAATGCTGGGATACTATAAGGCAGGATGTCATAGGGACTCTTAATCACTTTCACAATCACTGTCACATGGTCAAGTCTTTTAATGCCTCATTCATAGCACTTATTCCTAAAAGGAAAGGAGCAATTCAACTCAAAGACTTCCGACCCATCAGCCTCATTGGAAGTGTCTACAAGATTGTGGCCAAAGTTCTGTCAGAAAGACTTAGAAGGATAATGGGAAACCTGATCTCAGGATTTCAAAATGCCTTTTTAAAGGGGAGACAGATTTCAGATGCTGCACTTATTGCAAATGAAGCCTTAGAATGGAGACAAAGAACTGGAGAGTCTGGACTGATATTCAAGCTTGATATTGAGAAGGCATTTGACAAAATCAACTGGCAATATCTCATTTCAATCCTGAGACAGATGGGATTTGGAGACAAATGGATCAAATTCTCTTTCTCAACTGTCAAGTACTCTATCTTAGTGAATAGAAGCCTGGTTGGTTTTTTTCTCTCCTAAGAGAGGAATAAGGCAGGGGATCTTTTATCCCCCTTTCTTTTTATCCCAGCAACGAAGGGTCTGAGCATTATGTTGGAGAAGGCCAAACAACTACTTTGGTTGAAGGGATTTGACATTGGCAGTAGACCAGAGTTTTCAATCTCTGTGTCCCACCTTCAGGTGACACTCTCATTTTCTGTGGTGCAGAGGAGTCCCAAGTGCAACATCTAAACATCACCTTGATGATCTTTGAAGCCTTGTCTGGGCTACACATAAATATGTCAAAAAGTGTCATGTATCCTGTTAATTGTGTGCCAAGCATGGAGGTGTTGGCTGAGATCATGAGTTGCAATACACGCATTCCCAACCACTTACCTAGGCTTTCCATTGGGGGCTGGACATAGATCAACTGAGGTGTGGAATGGGGTTATTGAAAAATTTGAAAAAAGGTTGGCTTCCTGGCAGCAACAATATCTCTCCTTTGGTGGCAGACTAACTCTTATCAACAGTGTTCTGGATAGCTTACCAACCTATATGATGTCTCTATTTCCCCTACCAGTTAAAGTTCGAAAACAGCTTGATAAACTTAGGTGCTCCTTTCTTTGGGAAGGACAATTCCAAAGACCACAAATTCCACCTTGTGAAATGGGATAAGGTAATACTTCCCAAATCCCTTGGGGGCCTAAGAGTTAAAGATCTGTCACTGCACAGTAAGAGCATGTTGATGAAATGGCTTTGGAGGTACAATCAAGAAGGAACAAGTTTATGGAAGGATGTAGTACAAGCTAAGTATGGCAGTGATAGTCAATGGTGCTCCAATATGGTTAACACACCTTATGGTTGTGGTCTATGGAAGGGTATCAGGAAGCCGTGGAACACTTTCACTCTTAATACAACTCTCCAGGTTGGCAGTGGGGAACACATCCTATTTTGGAAGGATCCTTGGTATGGTCAAAGTACTTTGAAGGACTCTTACCCAACACTTTTTTCAGTTGCAACTAACCCAAACTCTACAGTTGCCCAAAACTAGGAGGAGAACACTTGGAGCCCAAGATTAAGGAGAAACCTGAATGATTGGGAAATAGAGGATTTGCTAGCTCTTCTTGGCAGCCTCCAGAACATCTCCATCAACGACCAAGACAGAGACAAACTTAAATGGGCCAACAGTAGAGGGGGTTCCTATTCAGTCAAAGGAAGCTATTACAACTTGAGCTCTAACAAAGCTTTGATTGACCAGTGGTCATGGAAAGTGATCTGGAAGACAAAAATTCCCCCTAAGGTCAGTGGATTCTGTTGGATAACTTTACAGGGTGCTTGTCTAACTCAGGATAACCTTCTCAGAAGGGGTTTTCAACTAGCCAACAGATGCCATATGTGCCTTAGCAATCATGAAACAATCAATCACCTGTTCCTCCACTATACAGTTGCAGCAGACATTTGGTCAATGTTTATTTCACTTTTTGGTCTACATTGGACTATGCCTAGGGATGTCAGGGATGCCTTTGTGAGCTGGAGCTCCTGGAAAGTTGAGAAGTCCATCAGAGAATCTGGTCTATGGTTCCTGCTGTTATTTTGTGGTGCATATGGACAGAGGGGAAGCAAAGATGCTTTGATGACATCTCAACTGCCAGACACAAACTTAAGGCTAGATGTTTAGTTTTACTTTTTTGCTGGGTGAACCACACCCCTGGGTTAGTGTATAACCCTGACCTTTTCTTGGACTTTATCAGCTCCACAGTATTGTAATAGGTTTTTGTCCTCCCTAGGAGCTGATATCTCCTTTTCTTTTGTAATCATTGCATCTTCTGGATGCCTTTTAATTAATATACAACTTACTTCATCAAAAAAAAAAAGACTAGCCGATTAATTGCGGTAGATTTAACAAAAGGTGTAGAACAATTAGCTGTGGACAATTTTATGATCAATTTATTTAAAACAGTAAATTGTAAAGAATCCTATCAGGAGCATCTGGTGATTAAAATGGCAGTAAATAGATGGAAGAGATTGGTTGTATATACAAACCAGTAGGCATGCTCGCAACCTTTAACAAGAGCAGTTTCTTGAAGCACTATCCTATTCAAACAGATAGCACACACCCCGTGATGATTACTCTCAAAATCAACTTCGTGCTTTTCCTCAGATATGCTCTTCATGTTAGTCTGAAAATCAAAATCCATATCAATCAGATTACGTGTATCGTGTATTCGAACAACACTGCTGTAAGCCTGAAACTCCAGCCATATGATAAACAGAACAAATTAAATAATTCCAAGCCACTGCAACTCCACGATGCAGAAACTAACACAGAATGATATAATGTGGTACCATGAGGTTCAAGGTATGCTTGTAACTAGGGCTGTGCATGGATCAGATTTAGTACATTTCGGATTCGGATTTCGGATTCTAGAAAATGCAATCCGAATCCGATCCGAATTATATCGAATCGGATTTTAAAGATTGGGTCGGATCGGATTTCGGATATTATTATGCCTCAAAGTTGCAAATTAATATGTATATTTTCATTGTAAAAGAGGCAAGACATTAAGAAAAATTCATGTTTATGCAATTATGAGAGAACTACGGTATCAATATAGCTAAATTTAGCAATTGTAAAGGTAATAACTTGGAAGAAGATGTAAAGGAAGTACTGACTATCCGAAATTAAAGTGTAGTATTTATACATTACCTAATAATTTCGGGTTTCGGATCGGATCGGATTAAAGTATACCAATCCGAATCCGATCCAAAATCCGAAATTTTAATAAACACAATCCGAAATCCGATCCAATCCGAAATCCGAAATCCAAAATTGAATGGATCGGTTCGAATTTCGGATTTCTTTCCAGCTTCAGAATTGCACGCCCCTATGCATCCGCTTTCATAAATAAATCCATTTGTACCCTTTCGAAGTAGTGACTGGAAATTATAAGCCTTGTCTCAAACATTCTTTTCTCAATTTCAGTTTTGAATTTCATATTTTCTTTTGCTTCTTCTTTATTTGGTTTTTATCTTCTTGACATTTCTAAATGTTCCTTTAAGCCATCTCGCTACATAAAACTAAACCAGAAGTAATAGAATTTATTCTATATGTAGACACAGGTTGAAAGATTTAATCACATTAACAGGCTTCAAGCAATTATATCCACCAAATCCTTAGCTCCCATTACTAGGATTAACCAATAAATCCTTTTTTTAATAACCGTGGTTTCCAGGCCAACTTACACGCACCTCGACTCGACTAATTCCATGAGATACCTCCAACCAAGGCTTAGACATATGAAAAGAAATCGCCTAGTGATTTTGTCTCCAATGGGATTTGAACCTGAGACCTCATGTTTCTCAACCCACTTCATTGACCACTAAGTCACATCCTTGAGTGCAAGCAATAAATCTATTTTATGGGCGCCAAAAGAAAGTTACATCAAGAATATCTAATTATACCTAGACCCAAGTAATTCCGACTGACTAAAAATTAAAGCATGAACTATTTTCAAAATTTGGCAAAACTCCTCAACAATGACTCGGAGACCTTCACCGGGTAGAGGTAGGGGTAAGGTCTGTATATACGCTACCTTGCCCGACCACATTTATGGGATTATACTAAGTTTGTCATCGTTGTCGTTCAATAATGATTTGGAGTAGGACCATATTTCTATGAGTAACACCCTATCATAAGATAATGGTAAAATTCTATTAATCAAATATCTAGCTTATTTAACAAGGGCGGACATAGCATACATGTTATTGGTTTCACCTCGTAACTTTGACTCACAGGGGTGCATCTACTAAAATTACAACAAATAATAGATACAAACTCGTAACTTTAAAAATATAACTGGTGTAATGCTAAGAACCTTAAATATTGAACTCGTGCCCCTATTGGCCCTGACTCTGTATGTGTTAAAAATTTCACTAAACAAGTACAAACAATACATTTCGAACCCAGTAAATCAAATGGGTCGTGATAGAATTTCGAATTCAGCAACACATAAAGTTCTATGTTATTCAGCAACACATTTTAGGAACCTATTACTTCAAAATCATTGTACTCACATAATATTTTCAAATTGAAATGTATTTTGGATCATAAATTTATAATCAAATAAGACCAATAATGTAAAAAAAACGTAAAAATGTAAAAACATAGAGATAAACATATCGAACATATTAAAAACCCCCTTATTACCTGGTCTTGAATGGATAGATCTAAGATGTCGTTCACGAGTTGCTGACCCTCAAACTCCACAACTGCAGCCATCGCCTAATAAAGATAGCACAAAAAAAGGGAAAGAAAAAGGAGAATATACTCTACTAGCTAGTTTCTCACCTAATATACTATACTGTAAATATATTCTGGAGAATTATGCTGATTCCAGCGAGAGGCCTCAAACGAACCGGGGAACGAAGTCGATGCGGAATACGTACAACAATCTTATTATAGATGCCCCCCACCTACCCCCCACCTACCCCCCTTACCTTGCCGCCTTAAGATATAAATATAAATTAAAAAGGAAAACAAAAATAAAAATAGAACAAAACAAGAAATCTATTCTTTTTCTCTTTCTTTTTTTTGGTTTTTTTTTTTTTTGAAAAATCCGTTCACTTTTGGTTTGATGCAGGGTATTATAACATGTGGCTAAAGTTCAGCATTAATACTCGTCTACCCTAAAAAATGGATAATAATTGAATTTATATGTGATTTTAAGGACATGCGGATTAATTCAATACAAATGACTAATAGCGTTAGATTAAGCAAATAAAAGACGTAATAAATAGCTAAACCAGTGATAAGAGTAATCCCGAGCTCGGTTAATTGCTCAATGAAGAACCTGCTTTCGATCCCGAGCTTACCCTTATGAAGAACTGATGAACAAAAATAAGAACTTTGAATAGCAGAGAGAATAGAGATAAATTGTCTTGGTATGCGTGTTACAATGTCCCTGATGAATAGTTAGTTTTCCTTTTATATAATAGGGGAGTGATCACGCCCAACTATGCCTTATAAAAAAGACTAAGCGGTCGTTGCAAATATAATCTGATTTATAAGTCCGGAGTCGAATCCCACAGAGAACTAAGGCTTAGCCACAACTGTTTAATATTGCTAAGTAGACAAGCTCGAACAATTCCTATGTTATAAATATTAAGATTCTTGTATTTAACTAATTAACTAATAAATTAAAATAGTAAATTAACAACTAAAGATACTATTGGTTGGAGAAAAGATTAACGAGGTCTAGATTTATGATTTCCCCAATTGTCGGAATCCTTCCCGCTACGTTTTCTATAAATTCGCCTAAGTATTCTCTACCGATCATGAGCGCACTGATTGTCGTAACTCTCTTCCGAGTAATTACCACAATTTACTAGACAAAAATAACACAATAATTTTAAAAAAAATAGTAAGCTGGGTTGCCTCCCAACAAGCGCTTGATTTAATGTCGCGGCACGAGGCGAATTACTTTTTGCCTCCACTTTGAACTTATGAATTGGACCCCCAATTTGGCATCAAGTTTTCAGCTATGCTCCAAGGGTGGTGGAACGAATCTGACTGGCCCAATAAAACAATGTAGTATTCTGCATTTCTTGGCCTTTAGATAAGATGTGTATTCCCAATTTTCTGGCAAGAAAAATTCCAGAATGTAGGCACCTTGTTCCTTACTCCTTGACTCCTCAAGTGGCTCGGACGACTCTATTTCTATATCATCATTGAAACACAATATGGAAAAATGCTTGGAGTGTGGATCAATGCGCTCAACTACATAAACATTGGGATTGTCAACATCCTCAACTCTAATGACACTAGAGTCAACTAAATATGTATCCTCAATATCCTTGGTTGACTCTAGTATCTCTTCTACGATATCGTCATCCTCAAAATCTAGTTCGATTGATTGTTGGTGTTCTACTCTGGCCTTCTCCTCTAGCTCATCCCCGTATTTTTTAACATCCTCCAGTATAATGGCAATTTCTGCAACCAATTCATGCTCATATTGGCTACTATCCACAATGTCAACTTGTTGCGCATTACAAGGTTTAATTAATTTATTTGCTTGTGCCTCCAAGTTGTGAATAGTTGTCTCTTGCCTTTGTATCTGCCGTGGTTTCTCATCATATTGTTCCACATGGCACTTTAACATATTCATGGTCAGCTTTAACATATCTTCGATTTTCTTCAGGTCAACTTCCCAGGATTCTTTGATCCTATTAACTTCACCAAAAAAAGTAGAACCATCATAGTAAGGGGGTGGGGGAGGATAAGACAAATAATCACAACCATGAAAGTGACCATCTTGATCGCCACACATATCACACACATTCCACACATAAGATTGAGTTGGTGTATATAACTCGCTCTCGGAAATATTTTGACAATTTTGCAATGGGTGGTTTCCTTCACAATATGCATAAAGAGGATCCAAAGAAGAATTACTAATATCAAAACTCTCATAATTCCAAGATGTCATGTTCTCTAATCAACAAGTAAAACAAAAAAAATTTAAAAAATCAAATACAAAAATAAAATAAAAGTTCAAACTTGAAACCTAGCAATATGTACACCTACAGCTACACCGTTAGTTCCCCGGCAACGACGCCAAATTTGGTCCCCGGCAACGATGCCAAAATTTGATCACGCCCAACTATGCCTTATAAAAAGGACTAAGCGGTCGTTGCAAATATAATCCGGTTTACAAGTGCGGAGTCAAATCCCACAAAGAACTAAGACTTAGCCACAACTGTTCAATATTGCTAAGTAGACAAACTCGAACAATTCCTATATTATAAATATTAAGATTTTTGTGTTTAACTAATTAACTAACAAATTAAAATAGTAAATTAACAACTAAAGATACTACGGGTTGGAGAAAAGATTAAGGAGGTCTAGAGTTATGATTTTTCCAATTGTCGGAATCCTTCCCGCTATGTTTTTTATAAATTTGTGTAAGTATTCTCTACCGATCATGAGCGCTTTGACTATCGTAACTCTCTCCTGAGTAATTACCACAATTTACTAGACATTTTCTCCATAATTACGCTAGCTAGCATTAAGTACGGCTCACTCGGATCGCACCCAAGGTTTCGTTATCCCTAATCCCACTTTTAAACCCTCCGTATTGATCTCTCATATACATTAGGAGTGATGTTGTTCAACAACTACCTAAATATACACTCTCTCCCGAGTAATACACACTAAATAGGTACAGTCGATTGAGGGCTCTTCAACCAACCACAATAATAACATAGTTGAACAAATAGAGAAAATACTACAACAAATCTATATTAACGTAACAGGAAAATCATCCTTCAAAAGGTTCTATCAAAACCCTAGAAAACAAATTAGCTATTAATAATAGTATGCATAACTACAATACTAGAATTCATAACCAATAATGGAAACACGAAAAAAGAAGTGAAAAACTCGTAGAAGAATTCTCCGCCTTGCTCCTAGTGTGTTCTTGCCTCTGAAGGTCTCAAGTGTGCCCAAACTCGATCTCCCCTTCCCCGTCTCTCTCCAATCTCTCATAAGTGGCGTTTTGGGTCTATTTATATGTTTCGGACAAGCCCTAAACATGTAGGTCAACTCCTAGTCAAACCGGAAAACAATAAAAACCTTCAAAACTCGGGCAGGGCCTAGCCTTAGGCCTAGCGTCGCCTAGATATAGCCTGCCTAGGCTTGGCTTTAAGCTGGCCTCGCCTAGATAAAGCCTGCCTAGGCCTGGCTTTAAGTTGGCCTCACCTGAATAAAGCCTGGTTAGGCCTAGCTTTAAGCTGGCCTCACCTGGATAAACCTTGGTTAGGCTTGGCTTTAAGCTGGCCTCACCTGGATAAAGCCTGGTCGAGCTGGCTTTTGCCCGACTTCTCATTTTCACCGTTCTCGAGCGTCCTTTCGACATTTAAGCATCTCTTTAGCTCTACTTTCATTTCCGATGCACCTACACATAAAATAGCCTCCATTATGCTCAAACAAAGTGTATTTTAACATTAAAGCATGTAAAATGCAAAGCATATAATGTGCAAAAGTCATGAATTATAGCCGCACATTAGGGAGTTTTACCCTAAGTACAATTCTAAGAAAGGTAAAAAAAATTGTTTCGCTAATCACTAATTTTCTGAAGATACGGTCCAAGATTCACGCCGTGATACCCGATTGGACCCGGATATCACGACCCTACATTAGTCGTGTGTAGCCATTTTGATGGTGTTCCCCGAAGTCTTGAGATTTGAACCGGACCCGGAGGACATGGTCCCGATGCCTCCGAACACATGTGATTTACTTGAACCCCGATACGAGGGGCTTCTCACTCGAATAGCAACTCCTTACGATCACGTCCCTTCTCCTTTTGCCTCACTAGATTTTGTGGTCATATGGTATGCCCATAAGACTTCAGGCAAAATTTCCTTTCATTTTCCTTTGGCATCGGTCAACATTTTCTTAATGTTTTGGAGTATGGTCTTGTTTGTAGATTCCGCCATTCCTTTCCCACTAGGGTGAAAGGGTTTTGACAAGATCTTTTTGATCTTATGGTCCTCGAAAAAATTGTTTACCTTGCCACCGATGAACTGCTTCTCGTTATCACATACGATCTCGGCTGGTATTTCGAACTGACATATTATATGGTCCCAAATAAAATCGATAACTTCTTTTTCTCGGACTTTCTCGAACACCTGAGCTTTGACCCATTTAGAAAAATAGTCAGTCATAAATAGTATAAATTGAGCCTTACTGGGTGCCAATGGCAGGGAACCGACAATGTCCATTCCCCATTTCATGAATGGACAAGGTGACAAGACCAAGTGTAGTAGCTCTCCAGGCTAATGGATCATTGGTGCATGCCTCTAATAGCTGTCGCATCTTCGTACAAAGTCCCTTGCATCTTTCTCCATGTCGGTCTAGTAATAGTCGACCCTGATTATTTTTCGAACCAAAGACTCTGCCACTGAATGGTTTCCGCAGGTGCCCTCGTGAACTTCTCTCAAGACGTATTCGGTGTCTCCCGGCCCTAAGCATACGGTGAGTGGTTCGTCAAATGTTCTTCTATATAAAGTGCCTTCTGACAAGCTGAACCTGGCCGCCTTCATGCGTAGAGCCCTTGATTCTTTAGGATCTGAGGGAAACTTCTCAGTCTTCAAGTAGTCTATATACTTATTTCTCCAGTACAAAGTCAAACTTGTTGAGTTTCTTTCAACATGGCCTTCCTCCACTATTGATTTCATGAGCTAAACAACCGTTGAGCTAAAAGCACCATCGTCAACTGATAGCCCCAAGTTAGCCAGAGCATCGGCTTTGCTATTTTGATCCCGGGGTACGTGCTGTAGGGTCTATTCCTTGAATCGATGTAGAGTTACTTGTAATTTGTCCAAATACCTTCACATTCGTTCTTCTTTCAGTTCGGACGTCCCATTGACTTGATTTACCACAAGGAGG